CCCCACCTGTGGCGAAGAGTGTGCAAACCAAAGAAACATGCAGCACTGTGGGGCCGTACTACTAATAACCCCTGTTTATCTTGTGTCTCTGCAGAAGAAGGCAGAGGAAGCGCACCGGATCCTGGAGGGGCTGGGGCCTCGAGTCGAGCTGGTAAGAGTCACCTTGCTTAACTTTTTTTTTTTTTTTTTTCTTTCTTTTCCAGTCAAGCTTTAATGGCTCCCAGCTACTCTCCTGTTTTGTTTTCTTCTCTCTCAGTTGCTCACATTAGCCACTTATTAATATTAGTTGTTAGCGTTAGCTCTCTGTGGGTGGGGCTTGTTGTGGAGGGGAACTATGGCTGTCATGGGTAGGATTCATGAGCCTCGTTTCCGGGTCATTTTGAGTGTTCTTCTCTCTAGCATAATCCGCTGGCTTATTGCTCTGCTCACGGGGGGCCTTTAGGGAGGCTTCATGATGCCCCTTAGACATGCACACAAATCTGTCATCCCCATGTCGCTAGTTTAACATGTTCTGGGGGAAAGCAAACCCTCCGACTCCTGTTCCCTTGACACCTGTGTGTTCTGCAGCATCAGGACCCTCCCCGTGGCATTTAAAGTTGCAGCATCCCACAGGCTGTAGGGGTGGCTGGCCAGTGGGACTGCTGCTCCTGCAAAGGCTCTTCAGTCCCCACACTGCTGGGTGCCCATCGGAATTTTGTTGTCCCAATTTTCTTTGAATTTTTTCTTTTGAATTTTGAATGCTGAGACTAATTGGAGTTACTAAATTGCCCATAGGTATGCATGTGTGAGTGAATGGTGTGTGAGTGTGCCCTGCGATGTTCCCCGCTTCGTGCCAGTAGCTTCTGGGACAGGCTCTGGACCCCCCACGACCCAGAAGGGATAAGCGGTTTGGAAAGTGGATCGATGGATGAATTTGCAGAAGTGTCTAGTGACTGTCCCTTTGTAATGATTTTTTTGAAACCAGTAATTCTGTGCTTTACCTGGAAAAGTCTGGCTTTGTGGGGCTGTCTCACAGCCCATTCTGCTTGATATGTTCTTATGAGCACACGTGCATAACAGGGTATTTTGGAATGGAATTAAAAAGCATTGAATTAGACTTCAAAATCATGCTGCATGCTGTTTTCCTGCTTGCGCATGGTTAGGGTGATGAATATTCACATGTAGGACTCTGGGATTAGGGTTTAGAATATTTCCATCTATAACCCTGATCTGTCTTGTTGCACATTTTCACTGTTGAATCTTCTCTGCCCAGCTAATAGTTTCCACTGTTTGTTCCAGCCCCTCTACAACCAGCCGTCAGACACCAAGCAGTACCATGAGAACATCAAAATGTGAGTAGGGTATCCTGGATATGTCTCTCCCTCTGCCGTGTCTGTGTGTGTGGCTTGCCTCCCCTTCCGTGCTCAGGAGGTGCTGCTCTGCTGACTGTGACGGCCTCATATGGAGCCACCAGTTCATTGCTTCTGCCAGGGAAAACCTTGCTTATATTACTGTACCACCTCACTGATCCGCAGCAACTGTCTTCCTCTTTTCCACCCTTTCTTTTAAAGCTGGGTATTTTTGCTGGAGGAATTCAGGTGCAAAACCTGAGCCCCTCCAGTTGGTCGAACCCACAATTTTCAGGTTACATGTCTGTTATCCCCTGACTTCTGCACTGCATGGCTCTCTTCCTTTATGTGTACATCTGCACTGCATGGCTCTCTTCCTTTATGTGTACATCTGCACTGCATGGCTCTCTTCCTT